AACAAAACTGGTGTGACTTGGATTTTCTTGAATTGCTCTTTTTATCCCTGAGACAAGTGAGTTAGAATTTAGAAGTTCTTGTTAAACCATCTGGATTCAATATCTTATTGGACTAAATTTATGGTCATTAATAGCACAATATTTTGCACCTGTGGCAACCGGAGAATCTCCTATGTAAGAAATATTTTTGTTTCTTGAACAACTTGCTTTAATGAACTCCTAGCTATGAATATAATTGATTCCTGTTCTTCCAACTTTTTGGTATTATATTTTGGCTTAAATTTTCCCATGTCTCATTAGGTTGTAATTTGGTGGGCCGGGCTTATGAGAGGGGCAGTCTCCATAGCTTTGGCTTTCAAACAGGTAAGGTTAGCCAAATTGTGGTTTTGAAATTCTAGAGCAACTATACTCTTATTGTTAGCTCAAATATTTTCTTTGCACAGTTTACTCATTATGGCGTGCCGTGGGATCCGGTCGATGCCACAATGGTGACGACAACAGTTATCATCGTTCTCTTTAGCACTTTAGTGAGTCCCTAAATTAGTCATGCTGAGTTTAATACGCGCCATAGATTTTGTACATGTTTTTGGTGATAATGATCCCCCTAATGCAGGTTCTTGGCTTCTTAACAAAGCCACTGATTATGTACCTTCTTCCTCACAATAACAATAACAATACCAACAAGTTAGACCGTGAGCCGACTATTTCTAAGGAGGATATGACGCTTCCTCTGCTCTCGTTCGATGAATCAGCTGCCACCAACCTGCACCGGGCAAAAGATAGTTTATCGAGGCTAATAGAAAGGCCCGTCTACACTATCCATTCCTTCTGGAGGAGATTTGACGATGCGTATATGAGACCAATCTTTGGGGGCCCGCTCAGCTCTCAGAATAATGTGGCGAGTCATGAAGGCAGTTTGCGCGGTTGGCATTTAGCAACGTGACTATATGAGTTCTGTGAGCTTGATATTCAAATGGTGGGACCTCAGAGAAAGGATCTAATAATGGTGAAACATGAGATCAACTGTTCCTGCAAATATTAACATCAGTAGTGTGAATAGTGAATTTTAGTCCTTTCCTTTTTCATTTTGTTCTGTTTTGTTTTGAACAATTGTGGAATAGAGTAAGATAAATTTTGTAATGATCATGGGAACAAGCGAGTACTGAAGAACTGTGCGTCTGATGGCGTTGTGAGAATATTCATTTTGGGGTTCTTATATATTGAATGGGGCGCCGATGTCTTTCTTCTCAGGGACACTGGCATTTTTGAAACAAATCGGCACACCATCTCGGGTATACTGGCATTTATGCAACAAATCTAGTATTACGAAGCATTGCATAGTTTTTGCAAGTTGTAGCCAGGCAAGAGGAGAAAGGATTTTTACCCGAATGTTACAATATATAACATAATCGGTCTAGGCATGACTGACCTCACAACTGTCTGGACCACCTAGGGCCCACCTATCCCGCTCGGAAGACGCCTAGTTGCAGCGAATGCCAAGGAATGCCTTGACGAAAATTGAACCGTCCGAGTGCCACCTTCCTTGTGCCTAGCCATATTTTAGAACATTGTTTTAATTTAATAGTCAAACAAATTTAAGCCTGTAATTTAGATATTGTAGATATTGTGCACTCTTCCTTGTGCCTAGCCATATTTTAGAACATTGTTTTAATTTAATAGTCAAACAAATTTAAGCCTGTAATTTAGATATTGATAGACGTAGCATATTTAAAGTCTTTTTTTTTTTTTTTATAAATTAGTCATCTCTACCAATTAGGTTACATAGTATTTCTTCATCAGGTTACATAGTATTTCTCCATCAGCTACGAAAAGAGCGAGAAACTAATGTAGATCAAAAGACATCAAATTATTTATTCAACATTGGAAAAAGTATCAAAATCAGTCTCCTAATTGTATAAGTGTTTCAATATTGGTCCCAATTGGGATCGTGTTTCTCTACACTAGTTTAGTATCTTTTGAAAATTAATAAAAAAAATATAACAATTGTAGCTAAAATTAAAAAATTGGCTCGAAAAATACAGTTCATGTTGACGTGTCTTATTAATTGTATAACTTGGCCATTTATCTCCTGCGTGGCGGCTGACATGTTAGATAATCTATTTTTCCTCAATTTTTACAAAAAGAAAAAAAAAAAAACATTCTTATTATTAAGATTTACAAACTTTATTAATCTTTTTGCAAGATTATAGCTGAAATATTTAAGTCATATAAATAGATAGCAATTATAAAGATATTTTCATATATTTTGAACATCCTTAAAATTACGATAATTTAAAAATCAAACTCTTGATTTTATATTAAAAATAAGAATTATGTATTAAAGAATATTCTTGCAATTGCGCCCGACTTTACAATCAAATTGACACAATGATCTTTATTCATAAAATAATGATATAATAAAAATATAAAATATTTGTGTATAGTTATGCAATTGCCATAGATATATAAAATATGTCTTAAATTTTATAATAAAATGCAATATATAAATCTTTTTAGTCGGGATTGTTCATTGTACATACTTACTTTCATTCAATACATATTTTCTATAATAAAATCAAGAGTTTGTTCAAATAAAGTCCTTCAAACACTTTTACAAAAAAACTGTAAAAGAGTATTTTTATTCTCTTTTAACTAAAATATTTCTGGCATTTGTACAAATGGTGTATGACTATAGAAGGGTTCCAAAGTATTCGTATATTAACATGTGTATAAAAAGAAATAATTATCTTTTAATATTAAATTTTATTTATTTATTTATTTATTTTGGTACAATTAATATTAAAAATTTAACTTTGTGAAAATCTTCCTAATATCGTTTTTGTAAACGTCCTTAATATCATTATTCTATGAGAATAAAAATGATTATGTCAATTTTACTGAATATATCTTTATAATTGTTATTTATCTATGTAACTTAAATATATCGACTATGATATTATATAAATATTAACAAACATTATGCAAAACTTAATAATAATAATAAGAATGCTTTTTTTCTTCAATTATGTAAAAAAAAAAGGTTTTTATTTAATGAGATCAATATTGAAAGTTGAAACATCTTTACAATTATGAGACTGATTTTGATATTTTGTCGTGTCATCCACCACGCAAGAGTTAAATGGACCAACAATGATATTGGTAAGACATGTTGGCATGACGTGTCTTGCTTGGACCGAATTTTGACGTTTCGACAACAATATCCTATTTTTGATTGATTTTGAAAAGATACGAGACTAATTTTGAGAAACCCGATCCAATTGGGCCAATAGTGAAACAATTCTATGGTTTTTTTTTTCGAAACGATAGATAGTATATTCTCAAAACAAGATCAATACAATGTTTGTACAAATCGGCGGCCAACTGACCAACAAAAAGCCAACCATGGCTAATCAAACCCAATATACAAAATGAGACCTAAATGAAGTTTGCTAGCTAGCTAATGGCAATGTTTGAACTCATTGAGTCCATCAGCTAACTTCAAACTTAAAGAAGCAAAAGAGAGATCTACCACTGCACAAAAGGCCTAGCAGAGCTCCCAACCAAACCAAAATCCAAAACAGTAACCCAAAAAAGCAAAAAGACAAACAAAAAGAAAACCCAAAGCATAAAGAACAAACAAAGAGAACTACAAGCTATCTATTCTGAACTCCAGAGAATTCCCTCCAGTCTTTGTCTGCTATCTCTATCAATGCCCTATCATCCATCCAAGTCCCTTTAAAGACCCACAAATTTCTTGTTTTCCACAACCACCAGAGTATGTATGTGGAGAGCTGAATTCTTGCTTCTGATGTTGTAGTTCTGTTGATGTGGCATACACTAGACCACCATCCTTTGAAGCTGTCAGTTTGGGATTTCAGACCTTCCCAAGAAACTTGTGATAATTTCCAAATTCTGGTAGCCCTACTACAGTCGAAGAAAAGGTGCTCAACTGTCTCAGGATATTCACCACAACTTTTGCATATGCAGTCCAATTCCAAACCTCTCTTAATAAGGTTGCAGTTCACAGGCAGTGTATTTGTAAGACATTTCCATAGGAAGTGCTTTAATTTTCCTTTTACTTTAAGTCCCCAGCTTCTCTTCCTAGTATCCATATGCAATTTTTGACCCCTGCTGCTCTCTGCAATATCAAGAATGTGTCATTTCTCAGCTACCAGCTTGGCATAAGTAGATGAAACAGAGAATGCACCATTTGAACCACTATCCCAAACAATTCTGTCAGGCATATTTGGGTCCAACCCTTTAATGCTAAGAATTGCCTGAGCCTCTGTCTCATTAAAATTAGCTTGGATAAGCTGGGTGTCCCAAAATCTTCCAGAGTGGTCCATTAATTCATTCACCCAAGTAAGATGATTGATTGCAGTTGTGGGTGTAGAGGAGAGTTTAAAGCCTGGTAATGATGGGATCCAAGGATATCCCCAGATCATGACTGATTTGCCATCCCTTATCTCATATCTTGCACCTTCTTTTATTGTATCTCTCACCTCAATCCAGCTGTTCCACAGCCATGAGCTATTTGATTTCTTCTTGATTGTGAATAAGCTTTCATGAGGGAAGTATTTTGCCTTCAGAACTTTACTAAGTTGCAAATTGGGTTTTGTGAGGATCCTCCAGAGCTGCTTAGCAATGAGTGCTCTGTTGAACAAGAGAATGTCTTTGAAACCCAGTCCCCCCTTAGCCTTAGGAAGAGTAAGGTAAGACCAAGGTTTCCAATGGATGCCACTGCTCTGCATTCCTTCTTTCTTCCACCAGAATTTTGCAAAAGTTTGTGAAATTTTGTGGCACAGAGTTTTGGGCAGTAGAAAGCATGACATGGCATAATGAGGTAGAGCTGAAAGTACTGACTTGAGCAAAATTTCCTTACCTGCAAGAGAGAGGTACTTGTTCTTCCATGAAGCCACTTTAGCAACAACATTATCATGAATGAATTGAAATGTTTGGATCTTTGATTGCCCTATGCCAAGGGGCAGCCCCAAATATCTTCCAGAATTGTGACAAGTGATACCAAGTAAGATTCCACATATTTGACTCTTAGTATGCTCTGGGGTGTTCCTGCTAAAAAAAATGGAGGATTTTTGGAGATTTATCTGTTGGCCTGAGCATTGCCTGTATTTCTCCAGAATGTTAAGAATAATAAGGGCATGATGTGTATCTGCTTGCCCCAGCACCAAAGTGTCATCCGCAAAAAACAAATGGGTCAAAGTAGGACCATTCCTACAGGTTTTAATCCCTTTAAAGTTACCGTCCATTCCTGGTGCTTTGTTTGGGTTAATGGAGAATAGGGCTTGCTTAACTTCTTCCACCTCTACTATTGCTATCAGCTCTCTGTTGTGCTCCTCTGAGATTAAACCAGGCAAGGATCGAATGATGTCATCTCTTGGGTTTGCCAGCTCTGATGTAAATAGCTCTTTGTAGAAGGATTCAATACACTTTGCAATATCTTCTTGTTGCTCACAAATGGAGTTGTCATCTCTTAAGAGTCTAGTGATTGCATTTCTTTTTCTTCTCTGAATGGTGCAAGCATGGAAGAATCGAGTGTTCTTGTCCCCTTCTTTTAGCCATGAGATTCTGGATTTCTGTTGCCAATATTTTTCTTCCTCTTTGTGGAGTTCATCAAGCTGTTTTGTCAGAGAGTCCCATTGGTTCCAGTCTTTGAGCCCTCCCAAATTTCTAAGTGCTGTGAGCTGATCATTCAAGGCAGCAATTTTTTTTGATGTATCAGCCCTATATCCACTTCTCCATTTGAGTAATGCAACCCTTGTCATCTTTATTTTTGAAAGAAAGCTGAACATATGAGTCCCAGTGACAGTTGAATTCCAGGTCTGTTCAACAACTTCATTCAACCCTTGCTTCCCTAGCCAAACCTTGTTGAAAAAGAATCTGCTCTTCTAATTCTGATTGGATGGATTAAGTCTGAGCAGAAGC